TTAGAACTGGATATGGAACAACTGATTGGTTCAAAATTGGGGAAGGAGCACGACAAGGCTGTATGTTGTCTCATGGCCACTGGTCCTATCACCTCCTGGCAAATAGAAGGGAAAGATATGGAGGCAGTGACAGATTGTACTTTCTTGGGCTCAATGATCACGGCAGACAGTGACAGCAGCCATGAAATTTAAAGACTCCTGCTTCTTGGGAGGAAAGCAATGACAAACCTAGACAGCATCTTAAAAAGCAGAGACATCACCTTGCCAACACAGGTCTGCATAGTCAAAGCTATGGTTTTTCCTGTAGTGATGTACCGAAGTGAGAACTGGACCATAAAGAAACTGACCGACCAAGAATTAATGCTTTCGAATTGTGGTGCTGACCAAAAATTAATGCTTTCGAATTGTGGTGCTGGTGGAGACTCTTGAGAGTCCCCTGGACTGCAGGGAGATCAAACCTATCCATTCTGAAGGAAATCAACCCTGAATGCTCACTGGAAGGACAGATCCTGAAGCTGAGGCTTCAATACTTTAGCCATCTCATGAGAAGAGAAAACTCCCTGGAAAAGACCCTGATGTTGGGAAAGTGTGAAAGCAAGAGGAGAAGGGGACAACAGAGGACAAGATGGTTGGACAGCATCGTCGAAGCTACCAACATGAAACTGACCCAACTCCGGGAGGCAGTGGAAGACAGGAGGGCCTGGCATGCTCTGGTCCATGGGGTCACGAAGAGTTGGATACGACTAAACAACAACAACATAATACAAGAAAAGCCCTGCTGGATCAGGCCAAGGGCCCATCTAGTCCAGCTTCCTGTATCTCACAGTGGCCCCACCAGATGCCTCTGCAAGCACACATGACAGCTAGATACCTGTCTCTTTATACCACTCCCCTGCATAGCCTTCCTTTTAAGCCTGGAATAAAATACACATCATTTTTGCATGCCACAGATGCAGAAAACTATGGAATTTGGCTCCAAGTAATTCTGAATAAAGGATCCACGTTGTTGCCAATTTCATGTATTGTCAACCACAATATAAAGCAGCATTTTCTATTCTGATGAAGAATTATTTGATTCAATTACACCTTGAGCAATCAAACTAAATCCCAAACTTATTTACTTGTAGTGTTCTTGATTTTAAATGTATTTATTAATTGCAATCACATCACAGAACATATTTCTCCGGAATACTTTTATCACACACTCACCACAGACAGAGCCTCTCACTAATCTCCTTAAATGTGGTCTTTCAGGGAGGTAGCGATATTTGCATCCAAATATACTGAGGTTTGACGTATGATCTCCAAAGAAGCGGAGTTGGCGGTATCTCTCCCCACAGCGGTAACAGAAATTAGTGTTACACTGCGAACAAGTCATATGATCGCATCCTTCTGTTCTCTGGATATGGATCTTTGCAAGCAAATACAAAGAGGGGAGGGAAGAAGAGAACAAAAGTTATTTTTTTAAAAAACAATTGGTCAACATTTATTTCAATGATCTGGTAACACACATTATCCAGTATTTATGTCCTTGAGAAAAGCTACTGTCTTGTCACTTAGGAGCTCTTAGTGGAAGCTCTTTAATTCCAAAATGGCCTGAGGCAAATTTCAGTACTGGCCATTTAAGGAATCCATCAGTTGCTTTCTAATACAGAAATAAATGCATGTTTAGAAATAGATCAAGTTAATTTTCAGAACATAAAGGAAGTTAAAGAAACTTTGCAGAGCTCTTTAGCTGCTAAATTATTTCTTACACATGGCCTGCTCAGATGTATAGCACAGTTTTTTCCAGGAGGGACACAGACAGATAACTAGTTTTGCATTACATGTTCAGTCTTCAATCTCCCCAGTTTAAAGGGAGATATTTTGATCTAAAAATGTATTAAATACAATGTTGTATAGTAAAATGTCTGGTATAACCTGAGTCATGTACAAAGTGGATTCAGGTCTGTACCAAGGTTAAAGACTTAATATTGTGCAGCTGGAGAAAATGATGTAATCTTATGTAATGTCCAAATGATGTAATTAATGTATATTCTGATTGGTCCGTACATGTATAAAAGGCATGTGTAAACGGGACCTGTTATCTGCTGTATGTCAGCTCATTTATTTCTATACAGTATTGCGTATTCTATCATGTCATGTCATGCTGCTGGTTTCATGTCTGAAATCTAAGCTCTCTGTAGACTTTGCTGATTTTTACTCTCTCAATGTTATAGGGTCATTGCAGCTATATATTTCCTAACTCTGCTTCCATCCAGAAACTTAACAAATTCTTTGGAAAGCTTGTTGCCAACCAGGTCAGACAAAACTGGTTCACATGGACCAGTGGTCTGACTAGGTAGAAGGCAGAGTCAGCAATCAGAGGTTCATGTTTTATAGCATCAATGATTTGTCTTACAAAGTAACAAAACGCTTCCTTCCCTAGGTTTCAACAGAAGTTCAGACAACAGAGAAAAAGAAAAAAGAAGACAATGACAGGATAATACGAGAAGAATGTTTTGGGTTAGATTCTAACCTAATTGGGTTTTGCTTCTGCAGGAGAGTTTGGTTTGGTGTCTGCAGGTTTTAGTTGTGATGAATGAGATATTGTAGATATTTCGCATTGCCAGAATTTTGCATTGTGAGATTGCTGGAACTTACAGGATGGATTCATTTTGTACTTTTACAGGTCTAACACTGCAATTCTATTCATAAGTACTCAGAAGGAAGTCCCAATGAGTTCAATGAAATGTTAATAGGGGTTCATATACCTGTACCTGAAAATAAAGTGCTGTATGGCAGTTTTATTTTTTATCAGGTTCACTTAAGCACCCATCTAAAGACATTTGTGCCCTATGTATTTATGTAGGTGACTATATATACATATTTTATTCTGTACTGCAATGGTTTTAAATTTTTTTATCTCAAGCTCCTTTAGAATTAAGAGAACAAACTTTCACAAAAATATTTTAAATCCCATCTTCAGCTGAGCTCTCTGCACGTATACGATGCTCCTCCTATGAAGGCTGCAAAATATATCATGTTTGTTTGATTAAAAACCCATTATTAAAAACAATTTTAAAAGGTCTTACTGGTATGACTTGATTTATGATGCATCTCATCCCTACCCTTAAGAATTTCTACTCTCCGAAATACATGCCTTACAAGGGCAATGCTGTCAGGAAGGCCAGTAGTGAAAGTGTAAAATTTACCAACTTTAAATTGCCATTTTTTTGTTCTCTAATCATCTCTAGCCAGATGTGCCAGCATTCTAAGCCTCCAGAGCTACAATGAAACCCAATTCTTGGGAGAGAGCAGCAGTTACACAGTTGTTTAGGAGAAGACTGTTCCCTCAGTATCGCTTACAGGATGAGAAACAAACTTCCTCTTCTGTGCAACTATCAAAGGTATAAGTGCCCTGTCCTCTTTTCCATCTAAACACCTTGCTCTCTTGCAGGGTATTTCCAGTGTACTAAGGTGTCAGAATGTGAATAGGAGTACCTACAGAAAACAAATAAACAACGTTGAAAATACTAAAATATTTACGTTCAACATGTGTTTTCTGTCTTTCTGTACATTCAGAGAAGCACACAGAAAATGAAACACATTCTACATTTTATATTAACTAATTCATTGTATTAAAGTGGTTCTAGTTTTTCAAAATTTGGCTGATTCAGAAAATTCCCCTTATAGTCTGGGGATGGTAACTCACACATAATCTTGAAAAGTATGAATTTTATTTTTATATTTTATGGGACATAAGATTCTAGGCTTCATAGATATGAAGTGCACATGCCCTGAATGCTAACCTACCGCTCTGAGACGAAGCATGTCCTTGATGCTGGACATGAGTGCATAAGGTACATGCATAGTCATGTCCAGCATCAAATCAAGGCTGGAATTGGTTGAAGGAGTGGCACTGGTGAGAGAAGTAAGGTCCAGTTTGTGCCAAGGACCGATGCCAGAAAACTTGATTTTAGCCAACTGAATTGGCAGAACAGACAAAGTCATAAACCAAGGAGTTGATTAAGTTGGCACCAGAGAAGGCAAAGTAGATACAGAAGAACTGGCTGATGGATCCTTCTTGTGTTTCAATTTTTTTGGCTTCAATGCATCAGTATCAGCCATAGCAGAAGACCCAGTATGCAATGTATCACATCTTCTCTTAGAGTGCTTCTTATCCCTCAGTGGTGAAATGTCTTTGCCCATGTCAGAGGAACCAGAGAAGAGGGATTGTAATACAACATCAGAGCTGAGTTCAGTACTGGTGTTTTCTTTGGCAATACCAATGGCACTTTTGGCTGTGGAGACTGCTGAAGTCAAAGCTAAGACCATATGGAGGATCCAATTTTGGACAGTTAAATCTACCACCCTTAGAGATTTTTCCCAAAAATAAAGAGTAAGGTCTAATTGAAACCACAGCACACAGAGCAAGCCTGAGCCAAGCAACCCTCACCAAGGCAAAAGAAGCACTGAGATTGGCCGTCAAGAATGGGAAATTTTCCCTCTCTCGTCCATACATTTTTAAAACAAGGTTGATGAGGCCATGAAGGCAGACAAACCCCAAAGACAAAAAATGAATATGATAAAATTTGGCCAAAGACCAAGAAAAAATACAAGAGAAAAGAAATAAATTTAGCCCATAGCTTAAGAATATAAAACTATGAAAATGCATTTAACTGTGTCCACAACTAACTCACTCTCATGATGGATGAAAAATAACTGAGAGGATCAGGTTTGGGTGTGTGAGATAATGTATGGTAAGAGTAGGCATGACACCCACCAAAACTGGTTAGCTAGGAATTTTCTGGAAAAAGCCTCTGTGCAGGTGCAGACCCATTTTGTGAGTCGCAGAGACCACGAAGAAGAATACTGCATATCTGACTATAGATCCTAACATAATTTAGAAACCATTATATTACAGCAGGGATGGAAATCACATGGCCTGGGACCACATGAACCCTCCTCCACTGATAAAGTACACAACTAGCCAAGAATTTCAGAGGAACAAGTCAATGTAATCCACTGAGATGCTATGATTGAGTCTGATCCAGGAATATACAACCATACTCATCTTCTACAGTGGTACCTCACTAGACAACGACCTCGCAAAACAACAGATCCGCATGATGACGAGGCTTTGTGATCGCTATAGTGATTCGCAAAACAATGATTCCAATGGGTGATTTTCGCTTGACAATGATTTGGTCCATGCTTCACGGACCGTTTTTTCGCAAGACGACATTTTTACAGCTGATCGGCGTCTTCACAAAATGGCTTCCCTATGTTTTCGGGCCCCGTGCTTCGCAGGACAGGCCATTTTTACAGCTGATCGGTGCTTCACAAAATGGCTGCCCTATGAACAATCTTTGCAAAACGATGACAACTTTCCCCATTGGAACACATTAAACAGGTTTCAATGCATTCCAGTGGGAAAACAGTTTTCGCAAGACGATGATTTTGCTAAACAGCGATTTTCACGGAATGAATTATCATCGTCATGCGGTGCACCACTGTATTTCTGCTCATGCATCCTTAGTCTTCCAAAGAGATGATGATGATCATAACAACATTTTCCAAGTCATAAAATCTTGAAACAGCTTTGACAAAACATGATATTGAGAAAGAATAGAACTTGAATTGTTTTGGCTGAAGTAATTCCATTGGAAAACATTCTTAATGTTCTAACCTTTATAATTTTGGCTGAAGTAATTCCACTGGAAAACATTCTTAATGTTCTAACCTTTATGCCTTACCAGACCATCTCTGAAGACAACTCACATTGAAATATAAAGTCTTTCAGGTGCAACTATATTTTTGTGTTGTTTTTGCTTTGTGTTGTTTTTGTCTGGATATGTTTATCAGACCAAATGATCTTTAGCTTTCTCTACCAGCATTCTACTCAGTCTAACATCCCATAATTTAAAGTTAAAGGGGAAAAAACAGCACTAAGGCTACTTTGCAAATAAAATTATGCTCTTCCAGTAGTAGAGAAGCACTGGTTGTTTAACTGGTTGAAGAGAAGCAGAACAATCATTTAGAGGGAAATTCCCAAAGAAAGAGATTTCTGTGACCTATGATAGACATGCAAATGCCACATTTTCAGTAAATGCAAGACATATACAGAAAAGCAATGCTGCAATTCCAAAATGTCAATTTCATATCAAAACAAAGTGTTCCAAAATGTATTTTACTTCCTTTTTGTGCAGTGAGAATGCAAGTTTGTAAAAACAAGCAGAACCAGTTGGTTGAAAGTGTCAGAATTTCTCAAGCGTACAGCACAATACATCTTTCAATATACTGAGCAAAGCTTTGCTTATCAGAAATGATTTCACTAAACATGAAGTTTCTTTTTTGTTAATCCCAATTTACAGTGGAATTAAATGTTGTTTTTAAATATCTATTATTCTTATAGAAAAATCTAGAACT